AGCGCCTTTTTACGCTTTCAGTTCTAAGGAAAGCTAAAGCCTCTGTAAATGATCTTTTATGCGTTTTCATTACTTACATTCGTCCTGTTTTGGAATACGCATGCCCATTGTGGCATAGTTCTTTAACCACTATCCAACAAAATAGAATTGAGCGGGTTCAAAAGAGGGCGCTTAGGAGTATTTTTGGTATGGATTACTTTAGTTATGATAATGCTTTAATATTGTCCGGGCTCTCTTCTCTTAATACTAGGAGAGAAAATTTAATGATGAAGTTTGGTAATGGAGTTCTTGCTTCGAAATTGTTTCGTGATATGCTTCCCCCCTATCGCAATCACGGTAGGAATTTGAGAAATAATAATTTACTTAGTGCTCCTTTGTGTAGGACACAACGATGGAAAAGCTCCACCATTCCTAAAATTATTGATGGCATTAATAATTCTTAAGTTCAATTGAATTTGGATATTTTTCATCCATAATTCAACACTAACAATAACATTTTACATGGTGTAAGTTGCAGTAGTTTGACAATGATGCTTATTATTAGAATGTTAAAGTATTATATGGTATTGAATATGTTATATAAAAGTATATATATGTTTGTTATGATTATGATAATAATAATAATAGTAATTATAATAATAATAATAATAATAATAATGATAATAATAATCAGGGGTTTATTTAAGAGCCGGCGGCCGGCGCATTCGATCGGCTACTACGATGTTTTCGCCGGCTACTTCAATCAATGCTGTACAAAAATTAATACAAAAACCACCAATATAATAGCGCAACAGGCCTGTAAAGAACCTTAATTACCTACGCGAAGTTAATTTGCAATAGTATGCACTCAATTCGATGTTCCTTTCTGTTGAAAGTTTGTTAAAATGTCTACCAATTTTCAGACTCCATGTTTGACTTTCATGAACTCGCAGCGTAAACAAAGTTAAAGCTCAAAGTTCAGCAGTCGCGCCTGGGTGAGTCCATCAAAAAAGCCACGCCTCCAAATCACATGTTAGCCAATAAGATAATAGAAATTTCTCCTCCACCACGTGCTCAGGTGATGACGATATACATCGCCCAAACTCTTTTTCCGTACATTGGGCTTCCTGTTTTTTTTTTACCGCGGAGAAGAAAAAAAAAAAAACAGATCGTCATTTAAAATTAATTTGTGTATGACTATGAACCTTTTATTTTCATTTCATTTTTATTTTACTAGCCCTCTTTGTGATGACATAGATATTTCGGAAATGATAAATAATTTAAAAAAAAAACCATCACTGGCTCAAAAAATTGTTTACACTCGGTGGCGGGGGTAGCAAGCCGAACCAAATTGAATGCTGTTTACACTCACAATTTCAGAGTCATAGATAGTACAATGATTAAAACAGCAGAGCAAGCCAAAATCGTCTCAATTCACATCACATGAGACATTTTTTCCAATGTGGTATCCATTCGTTTTCGATATCTGCGTAAATTTTAGAACTATTTTTTGCTCTCCTTAGATGTTTTCTTCAACGCAGATCTATGGCATAGACCTAAATGGTGAATCCCCACAAATTTCAACATGTTGGTGAAAGTACATAAACAACTTCATCATTATAAAAATTGTATTTTCAATTTATTTTGGTGGATTTTATTAAATGTGTATAAACTTTAAAAAGAATGTATTTCAATTATTGAATCCATATTCTGACCTTAAATTCCGATGTTGATTTTCCTCTCATTAATTAAATTTAGGCTTTTTGAGATTCGCGAAAGTTTAATGTCGCGAAAACGGCCGAAATTATCAATTCGCGAATGTTTCTGGTTTACAGTATATAATATTTAGGCTAGGCCTATGTACAGTATGAAGAATATGTAAAAATATCAACTTTTTTACAGCTCAGTAGTCGATTCTGAAAACTGTTAAAAAAAAAAATGATGTAGAGAAATGCCATCAAATGGGCTTAAAAAACTCTAAAACCCTGGAGCGCAATGGCGCTTCGCCCCCTTGACCCCCGACCAGGGCTCTGCCCCTGGACCCCGATGGGGGCCTAACGGCCCCCCTATACCCCCGACCTATTTCAATTTACTCTCCTGTTACTTTCAAATTTCTCCTGCTACTCAAATTCATAAATAAACCCCTGATAATGATAATATTAATGATAATAATAATGATAAGAATAATGATGAGTATAATAATGATAATAATAATGATAATGTTGGTGGATGATAGGCCTGGTTGTTTGTATCTTTTGTGTATTGCTTTTGGATGCTGCTTTTGTTTTCTTGTACTGTTTTTGTGTATCTTGCCTTTTTACTGTTTTCTTAATTGTTCACAGAGATTTCAGCTTATGCTGCCCTCTGTTTTTAATGTATTTTATTGGTGAATAATAAAATAAACCTGAATATATACCATGATTTGTAGCTTTCAGTAAGCATTTTTAGAAAAAGATTCCATCGCTCATAGGAGTTGGTTCTATCCATTCCCACATGCAAATTGTACCAGCTGACAGACTCTATAAGAGTCTATTTTATAATTTGTTAATTTTTTAGTTGCAGAAGAACTTCTGTTCAAACCAATTTTTCCATGTTAAAATAAAGCTATTTATTAAATTATTATAATTATTATCTTCTTCCACAAGCACAATCTCTTAAGCTTTGTTTACCATATCAAATTTCATCGAAAACCGTCACATAAAATTTAATGGAAAATTTTTTTTATACTATTTGATAGTATGTGATATGATGTCATTGCACCCATATAGTATGTGATATGATGTCATCGCACCCATATATATGGGCACATCACATTTTTTTGTCAAATAAAATTTGATAATGTAGACAAAGCCTTACTCGGCAGATCCTATTATTAGCCTCTATTCTATCCATTTCCATAAGTCTTTTACTTGAAGTTGTACTTTTTTTGATGGTGTAATGAAGAAATTTATCTGCTTTTATTTAAATTTAAAATTATTAATTCCTTAACATTGTTATTTATTCTTCTGCCTTTACAGTCTGCATTTTTGAACAGTACAGTAGCTAGCATTTTAGGATATTTCATGGTTAATGTTTCTTTTGGAGGCAACTTTGTATTATGTGCTATATAATATAATAAGACTTACCCTGTACATTATTATTATTACTATTATTATTATTATTATTATTAACATCTTCAATTTACCGTAAAAGTAGGCATAACGCTAGCTACCATCACCCAATGACAATCACTCAAATACTAATAACTATTCTTTTGTTTCAATTTTTTTAAAGGCACTGAATTATAAGTTACACGCATCGCACAACAATCGTACCACATTTTTTATCGACTATAAAAACAAGACATGAACAGAATAGTTTAACCCTTTAGATACCGTCTTCGACTGTAGTCGAAATTGACCTCAAACCGAGAATTCCCATTTTCGACTGCAGTCGAAATTTAGTGACTAAAAAATAGGTGGTTTTCAAATCGCTCCTGTTTTTATTTTAGCTCCAATACGTCAGAAATTTTGAACGCGAATGAGTGAAGCTTTTTTCTTTCGAAATCTGTGAAGAACTCACATGTGCTTATATAAAAATGTTTAGAAATATCAATTTGAAATCGTTATTAATTTCAAAAATTTTTCGAAATGGCCGCACAAGATGTGTACACAGCTGAGGAAGCGATTGACCTGATTTTTTATTCGGACAGCGATGAAGGTGAGTTTTTAGATGTGCAAGACTTAGACGTGCCTGATAGCGATGATGATGGTGGGGCTTCAAGCAGTTCTGACGGCGGAGATGTTCTTGATGAAGATGAGCCTAGGCCTAGAAATGTGAGGGTGGTCGATGCTTTTGAATGGAAAGATTGTGCTTATAGTTATGGATGGTTGGGTAAATAAATTATATAACTGTGTGGAATAGGAATGTTTTATATTTGTTTTTATTTGTTTTGGCTATAATTTTTTTTTTTTTTTTTTGGTTTTTGCTGACG